AAATCAACTTCAACTCCACCACATCCAAAACAAAAATCAAAATCAAAATCAAAACCAAAATCAAAATCAACCCCAACTTCAACTTCAACCCCAATGCATGTACCACCACCACAACAAGCAACCCCATCCGTATATCCACCAGAGTCATCCGCCCATCCAGAATTCGTTGAAGGACCTTCAATTGAAGAGTATAACGAAGAACTTGGTGAGTGGGTTACAATATACACATCACCTTCATCATTTGCACAATCAGCACCACAACCAAATGAGGGAATGTGTGAGGGGCCATCAATTGAGGAATTTGATGAAGAGCTTGGTGAGTGGGTAACAATCTATACCTCACCTTCATCATTCGCTCAATCCACACCAGGACCACCACCAGAACAAACACCACAACCAAGTACACCCACTACCTCATCTGCCTATCCAAATGTCTATGCACCAGAATCCAAGTACTATTTTGCAGGTGCATCAACACAATCAAATGAGGGAATGGGTGAGGGGCCATCAATTGAGGAATTTGATGAAGAGCTTGGTGAGTGGGTAACAATCTATACCTCACCTTCATCATTCGCTCAATCCACACCAGGACCAACACCAGAACAAACACCACAACCAAGTACACCCACCACCTCATCTGCCTATCCAAGTTTCTATGCACCAGAATCCAAGTACTATTTTGAAGGTGCATCAACACAATCAAATGAGGGAATGGGTGAGGGGCCATCAATTGAGGAGTATGATGAAGAACTTGGTGAGTGGGTAACCATTTACACATCACATGCATCATTTGCACAATCCACCCCACAACCAACACCAGAACCAAGTACTCCAACCACCGCATCAAATTACCCAAAATTTTATGCACCAGAATCTAAATTTGATATTTCAGGTGCATCTACAATCTAATGGGAAAATTTTTAAGAACTATTTAAAGAATTTGATGAAAAACTTGGAAAATGGGCCAAATACACACCACAATATATAATCATTTAAAAAACTCTTGGTATTTAAAACACTCCATTTCAGATGCTTCCAAAAAATCTCAATATAATTTAGGTAAAATATCTTTAGTATTTATATTATTTATAATATTAAACCATTTATTAATATTTATTTTGAAAATCTAGATAACTACATCTCACACCAGACGAAATAACTTAATTGACTTTTAAATATGTCAATAACCACAATCAACAACCCACTTTCATATTTTTTTTATAAAGTAAATAATTGTAAGTGTTTATAATATTTTATATTTAATGTTTTATATAATTTAGTATTAATATAATTCTTAGTTAGTAATATTTAGTTCTGTAACACTATCAACTCTATAATATCAAATAAGGTAAAGACTCAAATAGTATACCAGGGATTGCACCAACCAAATTGAAACTATTGAAGCTTTCTATTTACTATTTGATGGTTATAATACATTGCTCTGGTCAAGCAACTATTGTAATCATCGAATGGTTTTAGATCTATTCTTCTTCTGCCACGAATATAAACTATTGAATCCCAGTAAATACCTTCCTTCAAAATAGAAATTTGGTTTTTATTTTTAAATAAATTATAATAAATAATAAAATGAAATCAATTTTAGTTTAGATATACTGTATATAATTTTTTTTTTTTTTTTTTTTTTTAAAAAAAAAAAGTAAATTAACTCTTCTAAAATTATAATATTTTCTTTTTTTATTTTATTGATTTAATTTAATATTCTAACCACATCAGATAATTTTTCATATGATCATTTGCAAAATTTTAATTTTTTTTTTTTTTTTTTTTAAAATTTTTTTTTTTTTTTTTATTATTTTTTTTTTAGGGGCCATGGAATTTTGTTATAATTATTATCAAACAAACTGAAATCTCCGTTAATAGAGGTTTATTATTGTAAAATTACAAATTTTACTATTTTGGTGGTTATTCAGTTTCTAAATTTTCAATTATAAAAAATATTTAAAAGTGAAATGAAGAAACAACAAATAACCATCTTGGTGGTACAGCATGTATTGCCGCTAAATGTATACAAAGAGTTACGTCATCTAACCAAACCAATTTTGCTATAGTTATAGAAAAAGGTAATTTAATTTTAAAATCTATTTTTATAAATATTATATGACAACAATTATACTAATATACGAACTTTTTTAAACCAAATCAAATTGCCAATTCAAGTATGTGAATCTGGAAAGCACTTTAAAGATATTGAGAAATTAATAGGTTTACTTGTGTTTTTCAAGAGACATTTAACAGAGCTAGAATTAACTCTTTTTCCAATATTAACATGAACTCACCAGATTTATGTTTTCATGGATTGCAAAAAGAGGTATAAAATTAATACCTTATTTCATACAAATTCAACATAAAGTTCCAGTTGATAAAAAGGTATTATTACAACAAGCATTGATTAAATTTGTCGTTACAAATGATCAATCTTTTAATTTATTCAAAAATTCACATTTTATTGAATTAATGGAAATTGCCACTGATGGGAAATATATTCAATACAAACCAAAACAAATGGTTGAATACAAAGAATTCAGGGTATTACAATCAGAAAAAGTCAGGGCGATTGGCAAAAAAGCCATTTCACTAGATTTATGGAGATCACCTTATAACCATTATTATTTTTTATGTCTCAATGTTCACTTCATAGATGATAATTATATTTTACAAAAAGTATTATTAGATTTTATTTATTTTGGTGAAAAAAAACATACTTCAGAAAACTTGTACCACGTTTTGGTTGACCGTTTAAAAAAATCAAAACACGAACTTAAAGACTTAATATCCGTATGCAACAACCCGAACAGCCAAGCAAAAGAATTTGGCAGTCATTCTTGCTTGGCACATTGTCTGGATTTATTTAGCAAAATTTGTGGGCAAATATTTTCTTCTGAATTGGATTCGTTGGTTAAAATCTTAAGTTCAATCAAAAACAATTCCCAAATCAAAAATATATTTTTTTCATTCTTCAATAATATAACAAGGAAAATTTCAATATCTATCTCATTCTTTCCAAGGATCTATACCTGATCGCGTATCATTAAATTTTCTTTGTCTAGAAGATGCAGTTTTTTTATTAACCAAAATTTTTAATAAAAAAAATAAAATTTTAAACAAACCAATTTTATTTATTTATTTTTTTAATGTTTTTTTTAGTATTTTTTTTAATAATAAATTTTTTAATAAAATTTTTTTTTTTTCCTTAAGGAACTTTTTATTTTGATTATCAAAATATTATGATATAGTGTGTAGGTGCATTTTTAATTATTTGTATTCCAGAAATTAGAAATAATAACATCGAGGACAATGAATTATTAATTAAATAGTTAAAAAAAAAAATTATTACATATAAAAAAAAAATTAAAAAAATTAAAAAAAACAACCAAATTACCAAGATTCTATTTTGGCAATATATCCTAATGTTTGTGAAGTTATTAATGGTGTAAACGTACCAATACTCGAAATTAATAATATACAATTGGATTCAAGAGAGAATCAACTTAATTTGGTAATTGAACAAAAAAAAATAGAATCTATAAATTCTATTGCATGTTCAGATAGTATCAATGATAGTAAACGGTCTCTTCAAAAAACTGTCAGTATTTTAATAATATATAATATCTTTTATACAATTATATATTAATATTATTTTTTTTTAATAATGAATATATAGATTAATCTTCCACCACCACCGCCAGGTTATTATTATTCTGCAACAAATAGTGGCATAAAACATAAAGGTATGCCAAATACAATTGTTGTAATGAAGTCTGAAATAAGACAAAATATTCAACCAGTACATGGTAATAATAACAATAGTGGATTTCATTCAAATAATTGGGGTTCTGCTATTAATAATTATCATCAAAACAATAATAATAATAATAATAATAATAACAATAATAATATTGATATTAATCAAGAATTACTTAATTTCATAAGAAACCAAAACAATAATAATAACGTTGATAATAATAATAATAATAGTAATAATAACGATAATGAAAACAATAATAATAATAATAATAATAGCAATAATAGAAGAAGAAGAAGAAGATAAATCAAAATATTGTTCAACTATTCATTTCAATTATTTTTTTTTTTCAACAATTTTTAAAATAAATCTTATCTTTTTCAAAAAATATTTTTTATTTTTTTATTTTTTCAGTTTTTTCCCAATATCAAAAAATTTTCAGTTTTTTACAGTTTTTTTTTTTATATTTTTTTTTTTTTTGAAGGAATTCATTAACAATGAATAAGCTGCTATCATCACTAACTAACTTTAAAATAAATGAAGAGTTAAAAAACAGTAGTAATATTAGTGATAGGTAAGTACAGTACAATACAATACAATAAGTTTAAATAATAGTCGATTAATTAAAAGCATATTAATTGGTGTTTTCTCTTTTTAACTATTCATTATAGATTATTATATATAGTTTGGAATAATATATTTTTAAGAAATGAAATTCATAAACATATTTTAAAGTTTATTGAACATAATGTTGTAAATCTTGATATATCACAATATAAACAGTTTAAAGATAAATCATATATAACAACACTTGAGTGGCATGGTGATACACTACCAGATAAAAATGAATTTCCACCATTTTTGACAGATTTATATTTGAACCATTTTAATATGTCACCAACAACTTTACCAAATAGTCTTACAACACTCTCATTCGGTAATAATTTTAACAAGGTAGTTCCACCCGGCACATTACCAAATAGTCTCACAACACTCACATTCGGTGATGATTTTAACCAAGTAGTTCTACCCGGCACATTACCAAATAGTCTCACAACACTTAAATTCGGTCATTGTTTTAACAAGGTAGTTCCACCCGGCACATTACCAAATAGTCTCACAACACTCACATTCGGTTATGATTTTAACCAAGTAATTCCACGGGGCACATTACCAAATAACCTCACAGCACTCACATTCCGTCATTATTTTAACCAAGTAGTTCCACCGGGCGCATTACCAAATAATCTCGCATCACTCACATTCAGTTTTAGTTTTAACCAAGTAATTCTACCCGACACATTACCAAATAGTCTCACAATACTTATATTCAGTTTTAAATTTAACCAAGTAGTTCTACCTGGCTTATTACCAAATAGTCTTAGAATACTCGTATTTGGTTATGAATTTAACCAAGTAATTCCACCAGGCACATTACCAAATAGTCTCACAACACTCACATTCGGTGATCATTTTAACCAAGTAATTCCACCCGGCACATTTCCAAATAGTATCACAACACTCACACTCAGTAATAAGTTTAACCAAGTAGTTACACCCGGCACATTACCAAATAGTCTCACAACACTCATGTTCGGTGATGATTTTAACCAAGTAGTTCCACCCGGCACATTACCAAATAATCTCACAACACTCACATTCGGTAATGATTTTAACCAAGTAGTTACACCCGGCACATTTCCAAATAGTCTCACAACACTAAAATTCGGTGTTGCTTTTAACAAAGTAATTCCACCTGGCACATTACCAAATAGTCTCACAACACTAAAATTCGGTTATAATTTTAACCAAGTAGTTCCACCTGTCACATTACCAAATAGTCTTACAACACTCACATTTAGTCATCGTTTTAACCAAGTAATTCCACCCGGCTCATTACCAAATAGTCTTACAACACTCACATTCGGTTATGATTTTAACCAAGCAGTTCTACCCGGCACATTACCAAATAGTCTCACAACACTCACATTTGGTGATGGTTTTAACAAAGTAATTCCACCTGGCACATTACCAAATAGTCTCACAGCACTCACATTCAACAATAAATATAACCAAGTATTTCTACCTGGCACATTACCAAATAGTCTTACAGAACACGGATACAGTTCATATAAAAGGGTATTTATAAAAATATAATAATAAAACTATAAATATTAAACTTTTAAAATTAAAATATTATAAGTTAACAATAATATTTTTGGGTAATAAAAAAAAATATAATATTCATTTTTAAAAGCTTGAACTTCAAAAAACCCAAACCCAAATAGTCTCACAACAACTCACATTCGGTGATAATTTTAAGCAAGTAGTTCCACCCGGCACATTACCAAATAATCTTACAAAACTCACATTTGGTCGTGGTTTTAAGCAAGTAGTTCCACCCGGTTTATAAAGTGTGGTGGAACTTCTTTCGTTATAATTCTGCCAAATGCAAATAAAGTTTTTTAAAATATATTATAAACAAAGAAGATAAAATAAAACAGTTTGATTATGAATATTAATGATTTTAAAAAACTAAAAAAAGGAAAGCTATTACTTTATTTACATTTACTATTTTAATTTAATATATTTAATGTGGTTACTAGTATTATATTTTGTATTTCTAATTTAAATTAAACTCTTCATCTGTAATATAACGACATATACGAAGCAGTGATTTTTTATATTTTCTAAATTGATAATCTATTACTAATAATGGAATTGCACTATATACTAATTTTATATTATTTAAAACTCTTTCAATTTCAATTTGATCATTGACACCAACATGTATATATGTATTTCTACATAATTCCGATACCTTGTCTAATTCAACGCCTTTAGCAATTTTCTGTGCTTCTTTATTTTCTGTAAAATTTAATTTAAATGTTTCCCAACTGATTTTATCTTTATCTTCTTTATCTTCATTTATCTCTTTTAATACATGATGCTCTAAATAATAGTGACATACTGTAACGAAATATACTTGCAGACCAACGATTGCGGCGTCTTTTATAGCATTAATTTTATCACGGTCACTACGGACTTGGAAATAATGTGGATTAAATACTTCCATTTGTTTGTTTAATTTTTTGAATTTAATATATGTGATAATAAAATTTAATTTAAAATTTAAAAAAAAAATTATATATAGTTTTAAAATTTTATGGATATGATGTTTAATAGATGTTTTTTTAATTATAATAATTAAAAAAAATTTTAATTTTAAATATTTAATTTTTAAAAAAAAATAAAAAAGGAATAAATTATCTTAATTCATATAATAGTGATTTCCAAAGAAAAATAAAACAAATTTTTTATATTGATAAAAACATTGGACTCATGAGCATAATTTTCGAAAACATTATAATACAGTAGTGGATTATTATAATCAGTTTGAGCAAAAAGAAACACAAAAGAAATTAGAAGAGGAAGAAAAGATAAGAATTAATGCTGGTGAAGAGTTTGATAACAAATAAAGAGAGATGAAGAAGAAAAGAGAAAAAGAGTTAATAATAAAAAGAGGAGGAATAGGGATGAAGATAATGTTTTAATTAACTGAAAAAAAAAAAAAAAAAAAAAAAAAAAAAATTTTTAAAAGTTTTAAATCATTATAATTAATCTTTTTTTTTTTTAAACCTATTAAATTTACTCAAATATTTTTTTAAATTATTTTTCAAATATTTCATTTATTAAATGATATATGAAAATTATAAATATAATTTTAATGATATTTTATTTTCGGTTTTGGGAATTTATAAAAAAAAAAAAAAAATTCCGACTGGTAATAATTTTTAAAATTAAGTTTTCTTAAGCAAAAGATTCTTTGAAAGAACTTAAAAAATATAAATAAATATGTGCAATGGACTTCTAAAATATAATTTTTTATAATATTTTTTTTTCTTTTTTTTATTAATTTGTTTTTTATTTTAATTAGTTATCAATAAAATTCAATAAAAAAACATTATACGAATATTTTTTTATAAAATTTATAGTTATAAATAATATTTTATAGTAAATATAATTTGTTTTTAATTTTTTTTTTTTAATATAATGAAAAAAATTTTATTTTTAATTTTTATTTTTTTATTATTTATAACATTATTTATTAATAAATCAGTTTCACAGAATAATGAAATTGAATTGGGCGGAACATGCCAGCCTTTTAATGAAACATCAGTTTGCTATCCATATTTAAATTACACTTCATTTTATTTACCACCAAATACAACATTCCAATCAACTAATAATAATGCATCGTATAATTTGGGACTATTACAATTAACAACAAAAGAATGTAAATCAAATGCAACCTATTTATTTTGTTTACAGAGCTTCCCAAAATGTAATATTGAGGAAGAAAAATTACCAAATAGCACAACCATAACCTTTTATTTACCATCATTACCATGTCACGATGTTTGTTGTAAGTTATATAAATATATCATCTTTTAAATTATATAAAAATATTAATAATATTCACTATTCAGTATTGTCAGAGACACCCTGAAAAGTGTATATAGAAAATTTTTTAAAAACATTGTCTTGCAATTCAACATATAGCAATGGTATCGATATGTTTCCGAAGAATGATACAGAATATTCCATAATAGACCCAGGTCAATATAACTTCAGTATACCAATTCAATGCACAAACACAAACCTTTTAATTAAACATAATAACAGTAATGAAATAGAGTGTCCTTCCCCTCTACTTAATGCAAAAGATTATGTAAAAGAAGGCAAAGATTTGTATTATTATGTAACTGACTCGTGTATTATAGATTGTCCATTCGATATTTACCCAAAAGATAAAATGAAAATTTTAGATAGGGCCAATTGGGCTTTAACTGTTTTATCATTTGTAGCGTGTACCTATATGATAATCACATTCGGTGTACTTCCAAATAAAATAACTCACAATATGGAAAGTATTTTATCATTGACAATAGGTGCATGGATTACTTGTCTTAGTCTTTTTGTAGAAAGTGCTGATAATAATTTTAGTTGCAGCCTTCACGACAGAGGTAGATTTAAATCACAATCAGATCATTTATGTTTATTGGTTGGTATTTTGTTTCAATTTGGTGCCATTACCTCTATTTTCTGGTGTCCAGTAATCACATATGAAGTTTATATTAATTCTAAAATGAGTAAGTTTTTATTAATTATAATTAAATAAAAAAAAAAAAAAAATCTAATATTTTATATTTTTTAGAACCATTAAAGCACTTTGGTAGATATAGAATTTTCATATGGTCATTGATAGTTATTCTAACGGCATTACCAGCATTTGGAGGTAAATATGGTGCAACTGTAGCAACTTCAGGATGTTGGATTTCCAGTGATGATGGTGGTGTATGGCAATATCTCTGTTTTTATATACCCAGTTGGATTTCCTTGTCTTTAATGACAATATTTGCAATCTTATCTGTCATAAAAATTACTAAAATGTATTTGAAATCTCCAAATAGACTCATTTTATTTTTCAACGTAAGCTATTATGACAATCATTAACCTATTTACTTTTACTTTTAACTTACTAATACCTTTTTATAAAATTTCTTAAAATAGGCTAAAATGATTCTAACTATTGTTTTTTTATTGTTTAATATAACATTTGCTTCATCATTAAAGTTTTATTTGGAGGAAAGAATTGACGAGTTTTTTGATTCGGTTTATTTATGGGCACATTGTATCAGTACAACCGTAGGTGATAAATCATCATGTATATTAAATGTACCTGGCTATGATTTAAAATGTAGTTGTAGTTTCAATTTTAGGTTTAACTGTATTCCTTGGTTTTGGTATTGACCCATTAGTAATCTCAATTTGGACTGAAAGTACAAAATTGAGGTGGATTATAAATAAAATAGGTTTAAATAAATATATTAATTTATCAACCTCCTCCTCTTCCTCTTCTAGTACAAACAGTAATAATAGTAATAATACAAATGAAAAAAAAAGAAATAGTTTTAAAAATATAAAATTAAAAAAAACTCCAAATGAAAATAATGATGAGGGTGATAGTAATAATATCTCAGGAGATATAGAGAAAATTTAAAGAAATCAAAACTATAAAAATAATTCAATTAAATAAAAAAATTATAATATAAAAAAATTTAATTAAATAAAAAAAAATTATAATATAAAAAAATTTATATTAATATAACATATATCTTTATTATAATAGGCAATAAATATATACTATGTTCATATTCACACACTTCCCCCATTTTATGTTCATCAAATTATTTTAAAATAATTAATAATTATTAAAAAAAAAATAATTATTAAAAATAAAAAAATATATTTTTTTTTAAATTAAATTTTTTTATTTCTTTGTTCACCCCATTTTTTTCATTTTTTTTTTTTAATTTACCTATTAAGAAAGAAATAAAGAAATAATAAAAATGGATAGAAATATGAAAATTTGTTTATTTTCAAGTAAACCTTATTGGCAAAAATGGTTTGGAAATGTTAATAGTGAATATAAAATAGATTATTTTACTCAACCTCTAAATATTAATACTGTAAGTATTTTTATAGATTAAAAATTTAATATTAATATTATAAAAATATCAATTTAAATCTATATACTAATAAATATATTTTAAAATAGGTCAAAGAAACAAAAGGATATCAAGCAGTTTGTTGCTTTGTAAATGATGATTTAAATAAAGATGTTATTAAAAAGTTATCAGAGAATGGTGTAAAGGTAATCTTAATGAGATGTGCAGGATTCAACAAGGTAGATTTAGAAACTGCAAGCAAACTAGAAATACCAGTATTAAGAGTTCCAACATATTCCCCAAATGCGGTTTCAGAATATGCATTATCTTTAATGCTAACTTTAAATAGAAAAACACACAAAGCATACAGTCGTGTCAAAGAAGGAAATTTTGAAATAAATGGTTTGGAAGGTTTCAATATGAGCAACAAAATATTTGGTATTATTGGTACCGGAAATATTGGGTATCATTTGATCCGTGTTTTAAGATTGGGTTTCAATGCAAAAGTATTTGCATATGACATTTACAAATCCAAAGAATGCATAGAATTGGGTGTAGAATATGTAGATTCTGTTGATGAAATATGGAAGAAATGTGATATTATTAGTCTTCACACTCCTCTAAATCCAGAAACAAAATATTTAATCAATAAAGAATCACTTGCTAAAATGAAAGATGGTGTTATGATAATCAATGTCTCAAGAGGTGCTCTTATTAACACAAGAGATGCTATCAATGCTTTAAAAACCGGTAAAATTGGTTACCTTGGTTTAGATACCTATGAACACGAGGAGGAATATTTCTTCCAAGACCACAGCGACCAAATCATCAAAGATGAAAATCTTCAGCTTTTGGTTTCGTTTCCCAATGTAATTGTTTCATCTCATCAAGCATGGTACACAAAAGAAGCAATCTCTGCAATTTGCAGCACAACCATCCAAAATCTATCAGACTATGAAAAAGGAGAAATTAAAAAATCAAATTTGGTAAATAAACCACAACAATAATACAAAAAACAATAAACAAATAAATAGATAATATATAATAATTTAAACAAAAAATAAAATAAAAATCTATTTATATTAATTTTTTTTTTTTTTTTACCATCTCTATTTACAATTTTATAGTATACATATCTTTTATTTAAAAAAGATAATTTTCATAAAGAAAAATAAATATCTTTAATAAATCTATCCTAAAAAATAATTTATTGAAATTACATTAAATTTATAATGTATATTTATCCCAAAATTCTTCCCAATACCAATATATATATTTATCCAACTAAAAACCTATATTTATGTGTAAAATTTTAATGTTTTTTATTTTTTTATTTTTTTTTATTTATTTTTTTTTTCTCTTTATATTATTTATATAAATTGATACAATTATTTATGAAAATTCCTATATTTGCTCAACGCTATTAAGTGGCTCTTCTAAATATTCACGTAATTTTTGTGTCTAGAATATAAAATTATAAATAAACTATTAGCATTTTGTTTTTCATAGAAAATTATTGTGTATTTAATTTTAGTAAATAATCAAACCTTTAATTTTAATAAACCAAATTCTGTATTTGTATCGCTATAAACACATAAAAGAAGTGAGGCTACTTTTGTAATAACAAATCTTCCTTCCTAAAGTTTTAATAATAATAAAAATAATGGTCAATATTATTGTTACCTTATGGTGATATATAAAATTTCCATGCTATTAAATCTAAATATATGATACCAACTTCGCAATCAATTAATTGATATTGTAAATCTGAATTTCTATTATATGCAGTCCAAATATTAGCAGTAATAGCTGCAACAATTTTTGAAATATTATGTGAACTTGGTGATTCTTCTGAGCATGCAATTAATGAACCATCATCTTTCATTAATCTGTAATAAAAATAAAAGACGATTAATATATGGTGATTATGTTTGACGATTACTTTTTATGCTGTCGTAATAACATATTAAAAATGTTCCACATACAAAACACCTTTAGTATCTGAGTTGCTAACTGCTTGATTTAAAACTTGTGGTAAGATTTTTGATCTTAACATTTTACTTTATTTTAGTGTATATATAAATTTATAAAAAAATTATTAAATAATTAAAAAAAAAAAACTAAAGAAAAATTTAAAAAAAAAAAAATTTAAAAAAATTTTTTAAAAATTAAAAAAAAAAAAAAAAATTAAAAATAAAAATAAAAATAATAAAAGGAATATTCTTTGTTCTGATAGTTTTTTTTTTTATATAAATCTAATTAATGATCAATTTAAATCATTAGCTCTGTGATAAAAGATTTATTATATTTTATGTATTTTTAAATAAATAAATTAATAAATAAATAAAAAATAAATATATAATTTTATATGTAAGTGTGTATATATATGATAATTATTTCCAACCAATATTTTTAATATGTGGAAAATTATTTAAAATATCTCTTTTTTTATAAAATACGTTAATATTTATAAAAAGAGTATGGCAAGTTGTTGGTATGACACCTGGTAATAGTGTTTGTGAGTAATTTCTTGAAAACTCTATTTTAAGGATTCTCTGTGGTAAAACACCATATCCAATGGGTTGATTGAAGCATCCTAAAAAAATGAAAATTGGTTTAGTAATCAATGTATTGACAAATGAATAAATATGTTTAATTTAAATTTATATTTACCACCAAATGTTAATGAGGTTATTGAGTTTGGAAGAGTTCCTGCAGTTATTATTTGATTGTATTCATAGCCAAACTTAAGTGTGGTTACAGTACAAGGAATCGAGTTTTTTAAAAGTTTTTTATTAAAATTTCGAGGAAGTGATAGTTCTTTAATACCATATGGGATAGTATTGGGTCCTATTGAGTGATTATATGATGAACCCAAATCAAGCTTAGTGAGACTTGATGGTAATGAACCAGCCATTAACTTTTTATTGAATGAACACCCTAGAGATAAATTTTTTACATTCTGAGGCAATACTTTTGGTCTAATAGGTTCATTAAAGTAGTGAGAAAATTCGAGAGAGGTTACAGAGGATGGAATATCACCTCTAGATATTGGCTGGTTAAATTTCCTATAAATATTAATTTATTTTAAATAACATGAGTTAGTATATACATTATTATTTTTAATATTTATTTTTAAAATTCTTACCATCCAAATAAAATAGTATGGCAATTCTTTGGTAATAGATTTGGTTTAAGAGGATTGTTGTAATGGTATGGAAGTTTGAGATAGGTGATATTTGGTGGTAATGATCCAAGTCTAAATATTTGATTATATTTTTCCCCAAAAATCAAAGATGTGCAGCTATCTGGAATTGAATTCACTAGTAATACTTGATTAAAGCAATGCCCAAAAGTAATAGACTGGACCCGAGAGTTTGAAAATACCCCTGGTTCAATTGGTTTATTAAAGGAGAACCCAAATTTAATTGATGTTAAGTTTCTTGGTATTAAATCTTTGGTTAGAGGCTGATTAAAATAGAAGCCAAATGTTATTGATCTTAAATTATCTGGAAGAATCCCACTTCTTATTGGGTGTTGATAATAATATCCAAACACTAATTCTTCAATGGATTTTTTAATATCGCCAGGTAAAATAATTTGATTAAAATGGTTTTCGAATATTAACGACTTTAAATTTAATGGTAATTGGTTACTGTTAAAATGATGCTCTACATTTAAAACTGAAATGAATTCGCTATTTGGGTTTTTTTCTAACTGATCAGTACTTGAAACTTTAACTCTATAATTTAAATTTTTTAATTTAATAAAATTAAAAATAATTCTTTTTAAAACAACACTTCTAAAAATTTTAAAAAATAACTTTGTTGAATAATCTGTATTATGATTTATATTTTTATTACTATTATTATTATTATTATTATTATTATTATTATTATTATTATTAATTAAATTAAATAATATACTATATTCTTCATCATTGTTCATTTTTTTATATAGAGTTATATTATTTCATTTATTGATTACTTTTTTTTTTATATGATAAGGATATCTATGGATGAAAATAATTAAATTAAAAAAATTATAATATTTAAATTTCAAATATAATTGTTAAAAAAAAAAAATTAAAATTAAAATAAATTAAAATTAAAATTAATATTTAATTATAATAATTATATTACATTATAATAGTTGTAGTAATACATTACCCTTTATGTATAAAAAAAAAAAATTTATTCATTTTTATAATATTATGCATAAAAGTATATCATAATAGATATAACTTTAATGTACAACAATAAAATAATCGCATACATTTACCCCCCACTAACACACAACACATAATTAGGTTTATTTAAATAATTTCACAAAAAAAAAAAAAAAAAAAAAAAAAAAAAAAAAAAAAAAAAAAAAAATTTAATTTTTTTTAATTTTTTTTAATTTTTTTCAAAATTTTTTTTTTATTTTTATTTTTAATTTTTTCATTTAAATCGTTCATTAATTTCGATTAATTATTTGATTTATTGAAATAATTTTTAAATATATATATAAAAGAAACGAATATAAAAATGTATAAAAGTAGACAACAGAATAATCAAGATCAAAATATAAAGCAACAACAGGATTTTCCGGTTATATGCGAAAAATGTTTAGGTGATAGTCCATATATGACAATGGTAAGTTGTTTGATTATATACTATAAACAATTTAAAAACAATAAATAAATATACTGACAATAAAATTATTATTATTATTTTTAATAGAATAGATCAGAAAATGATAAAGAATGTAAAATATGCGCTAGACCATTCACAGTATATAAATGGAAACCAGGAAATAGTAGCAGATGGAAGAAAACAGAGATTTGTAAAACATGTTCACAAATTAAAAACGTATGTCAAGTATGTATACACGATTTAGAGTTTGGACTTCCAGTACAAGTAAGAGATGCAGTATTATCCACTCAATTTGATAGTGCACCAGTTACAGAAAAAGGTACAGAATATATGGCAACACAAAATCAAAGAATGATCGATAATGGTGAAGTTTCATATGACAATTTCCAACCATCAGATATTATACAAAAAGTTCAAAGATCAGTACCATATAGCAAAAATCAAAATCCAAATCAAGGTCGTATTTGTTCATTTTTTTTAAAGGGTGATTGTAATAGAGGTGATCAATGTCCATTTAGACATGCCCAACCAGGCCCAAACGAAAATGTAGATTCACATTCAATTAACCAATCAATTAAAGATCGTTACCATGGCACCAATGATCCAGTAGCCCAGAGAATGTTAAGTCAAATTGAAAACACCTCATCACAACCACCAAAAAAACCCTCAGATGAATCAGTTACAACTCTCTTTTTAGGTAATTTAGATGTAGATAAAGTTAAAGAAGAAGATATTAGAAATAACTTTTTCGTTTATGGCACAGTTAAAAAAATTAAAATGGTTCCACACCAAAAATGTGCTTTTGTAACATTCGATACTCGTAGCGCTGCTGAAAATGCAATAGATTCATTATATAATAATTTTAAAATTGACGATTGTAATATTAAATTAAATTGGTCAAAATCAAACAAACCACCAGTCAAACCAAATAATAATAACAGCAATAAATATCAAAATAATACACAACAACAACAACAACAATTGGAAAACAATACAGAGAACGACTCTGACTCAACTACTTCAACTACAAACAGTACAACTGAAGAAGAAAATAAACCTAAAATTCCAGCACCAGTTTTTAAACCAATGGGCATCAAATCATTCCCATCATTCAATATTAATCCAAACCCATCCGCAACTGCAAAACCATATTACTCATCTATGGATCCAAATAATTATGGTAGTAAATATAAATAAATAATTTTAATTTTTTTTTTTAAACACCTAGTGTTAGATTTAAATTTTTTTATTTAGTTTTTATTATATTACTATTTTATTTATTAAAATGGTAAAATTCTTGAAGCGAAATTTATACAAATATGGGCCCATAAAAATAAACCTCTAGATTTTGATGAAATAATATATAATAATCCAAATGATTTACAATAACATGATGTACATTCCCACCAATCGATACAGGTTAATACAATGAATAATGCCAAAATGAAATGAGCTAAACCTTGAGCGACTTTATTAATCATTGGATTCTATTTAATAAAGAAAAAAACAATTAATAATCATAAAAACAATAATAATTTAAATATTTTCACATACCATTTGAACAATATTAATTTTTAATAAACTATTAATAATAAATTGACCAATTAAAGCGATTACGATTGGATAATAGATTGTACTAAAAACATAATTATCTCTAATGTAGATTAATTCTTCGAATGAAAATATTTCGTTTTTAAAACGAAGAGTTAAATCCAATAATGTGGTGTAAAAGAAAGCGATTAATAAAGCGTCTGAACGGGCAATTGAAAGAAAAGTCTTTTGTTTAAGAGCGATGCTATTCTGTCTTGATTTAAAAACTAATAAAAATTCCCAAACTAACCAAACTGCTAATAAACAGCCATATGTGTAGATGGTTTGACGTATTGATTGGGCAGTTCCAATGAAACCTCCACCTGAACCTCTTTCGTTTGCTGTTGCTTGATTTTGGAGTAATGCATTTACTATAGATTTAATAAACCATTGGTATTGATGCATAAAATTTTGTATGTGATTAATTGGTTTAGAGTCGATGTTATAGTTTTCTATGCTGTTATTAACTTGTTCTAATATTTGTGGTGAGCATGATAAAAATGCGATGCAAAGGAAAATAACTGAAAAAAATAAAACGCCACTCCATCTTAAGAATGTGAATGTTATTGGATCATTTAATTTTGGTTGAGGAGTTTGATTTGATCCATTTAATAAATCAAATAAATTGGGTGGTTGATTGCTACCATTTGCTACATTATCTGATGGTGTTGGTTCTGGTGTTGGCTCGGCATTCTTTAATGATTCAGTATGACTTGAAATATAACTTAAACGATCTGAAACATTACCTTGAATTCTTTTCTTTCTAGCTTCTCTTCTCTTTTCCTCTAATGTCTTTTTTGGTTCCTCTGTATCCATTACTAACTATTATTTTAACTATCTAATCAATTTGTAAATAAATAATAATAAAAATAATAACAATAATAATCAAAAATAAAATTAAAAAAAGAGGTAATATAATAATGAAAAAAAAAAAAAAAATGAAAAAAAAAAAATGAAAAGAAAAAAAATAAAAATAAAAAAAATTTAAAATAAAAAAATATTTATTTTTTTTGGAACCAACACACATATTTGTTTTGATCATCATCTTTTTTATTGTTGAAAAAAAAAAAATGTATCAATTAATATTCTTATAATTATTTAATTAGAATATTTAATTTGATGATCAAATAAATCATTATTTTATAATTAAAAATAATAATGTATGATTTTTTTTTTTTTTTATATCTTATCTAGATTAAATTATTTAATGTTTTATAAAAAAAATTTAATGATGATACTTGTTTAGTTTTATCTTTAAGATTAAATCTAAATTTTTATATCTTAACAAAAATAAAATTATTTCCCTCTTTTTTTTAAATTTAACGGTTCTAAAAAAAAAAAAAAAAAGTAAAAAGATGAAATTGTTTTTTTTGAATTTTTTCATTTTTTTTTTCATTAATTTTTTTTTTTATTTTCATTAATAATAAAACAACCACCACACAGCCTTTTTTTGTTGTTTTGAAATAACACACCAACACTCACTATTATTAACATCACACCCAATCTTCAATATCATAATATCAAAATATTATTATAAACTAAAAATAATATTAACTTTATTTAAAATTGGTGTGATATCTCTATGTTGTTAATTAAATTTTTTTAAATTTAAAAATAACACATTCTTTTTTTTCCCTCCATCTTATTTTATTAATTTTTTTCTTTTATTATAATTTTTTATTTTTTTTTTTTATTTTATTTTTTATTAATAATATTGTTTAAAAAAAAAAAGTTATTGTTAATTTATATATAATTTTTATTCACACACACAATAAAATAAAGTAAAACAATAACACTGATATTATATCTTTAAAAAATATCACACATCATTATTTTTTTCTTTTTTTATTTTTTTTTTTTTTTGTATATAATTTATAATTGTATAGAATTTATAAAAAGAAACATAATTATAAATATTCATATATAATCAAAATTTTAAATTCCATTTTTTTTACTAAATAAATCATATATATATATATAAAATGTATTCAAAAGAAAAATTGCAAACATATTCAAGAGAAGACCTCTTGAAGATATGCAGAGCTAATAGAATTCATATTATGTCGAGTGACATTGAAAAAGTAAGATACTTAAATAAAAAATAATAAAAAAATAAAAAAAAAGAATACTAATTATAATTTTTTTTTTTTTTATAGCCTGATATTATATCAAGTATCTTAAAACATTACAGAAGACAATCAAGAATTATTTACCACGAAGAAGAAAAATCAAATATGTCTTTAATGACAATCGATCAATTAGAAACTGCACCTAATAGTAATACCAATATTAATAATGAAAATTTAATTGGATTTTCATCATCGCTATCAAATTATTCATTTCAGGGTGATATATCAACATATAAACCTCCAATTTTAGCAAGAAGAAAAACAATATTTAGAAATAATAATAATAATAACAGTATTAATCTTAACTTAGATTCATCAACATTAGATTTAAATAATTACCAAAATACAGGCTCCTTATTATCTGATGACAAAAAATCTATTATAAAAAATATATTAAATAATAATAAATTAATTCAATCACAATCCCAATCACAATCTTCAACTTTTCAACCATTACAATTTTCAAATTCAAACTTTAATTTTAGTGTAAATAATATAAATAATGACTCTACAAATAATAATAGTAATAATGTTAACAACGAAAATAAAAACAATAACGAAAATAATTTATTTAAGGATTCACTTAAATTTTCAAATTTTAAACCAACAAATGATATAGTTTTACCAAATAACCCAATCGATATGTCATTTCAATCACCAATGTCACCATCTGCTGTTTTATCACCAAGTTCACAAAGGGATCAAGATAATATAATAAATCAAATTGCCTCTTTAGATTTAACAAAAATCTCACCAAGAAAAGTTGATATAATAAATGTCAACTATAAAGAAAAAACAGTAATGGCAACTACTAGTTCGGCTACTATTGGTGCTTCAGCGGAAGTATCGTTTACAACAATAGAAAATAAAGTAAAGTCACCATTACAAATTTCCCCAACTTTATCACCATCTTTCACTGCCACTACTGTCCCCCCAACTGCAACTGCAACAACAAATAAATCTCCATTACAAATTTCACCAACTTTAACTTCTGTAACAACCGATAATAGAAAAGATGATTTTATGGCATTAAAAAAGAGATTGTCTTTATTGAAATTAAAAGATATCACATCAAAGAAAAAAGCAATTACCGCAACAACAAATGAGATTAGATATTCCGAAGTTGCAAGACCTGTTCCAAAAATGAATCCCCATGTTTCAAATAAAACCAAAACCAATCCCATTAGCAAAGTTACAAAAAAACCAGATTTTGATAAAATTCATCAAGCCGAGTTCGATAAACTTCAATCCATTACAGATTATGAAACTAAAAGAAAAGATATGTGGGCTAAATTAGGTTTTTCAAATTTACCATTTTTAAATAAACCAGAATCTACTACTACAACAATAACAACAACAACAACAACCAATACAACCAGTACAAAAGATTTAGCACAACCAGAGGATATGGAAATGTCAATTGAAAAATCACCATTAAAACCAAATAACTCAGAACCAACCACAACCTTAAATCCAATAACACCAAAGAAAAACAGTAATTTAACATCATCAGGTGTTTCAAATCCATTTTTATCATCATCAATTAATTTTTCAACAGTAAAAACTCCAACTAAATTTAAAACTAGTATGTTATCTAGTACCCTTGTTAATTCACCTGTTTTATTATCAGGCGAACAAAAAAATTCAATCTCTGCAACAACTCCATCCAAATTAAACTTAAATAAAACTCTATTAAGTGCAAAATCAAATGTTTCAACAACACCATCTGCCACCCCTACTGCTACTCCAACTGCCACCCCTACTGCCTCAGCATCATCCACAAGTAAATCTGCTACTGCAACAACTACACCAACATCATTATTGTTTAAAAAGCCGACTGCAACATCAACGGGTAAAACAACAACCACCACTCCATCATCATCATCATTATCTACTAAACCATCTACAACACCAACATTTTCAACTGGTAAACCAATTACCTCATCAAGCTCTGTAAATAAAACCAAAACCACTTTATCCTCTAAATCAGGTACACTTTCATCAACTTTAACCAAACCCAAATCTGCATCAACCACTACAACAGCCTCATCAGCCACAACACAGCCAGTTTCAACTGCTACAACCAAATCATTGCCATCATATGCCCAACCAACATTTGCTTCCAATCTAATGAATAAAACAAGCAGTAACTCCACAATAGCGTCATCAACTAAATCATCTTTATCCAAAACTTTGGCCAAGCCATCATCATTATCAAAAACAACAACTACATCATCGCTAAAACCCAAAACACCATCTATTTCAGCATCATCAGAATCACCACTAACCAACATTACAAACACACCACCAAAAGAAGGTAAAGACTTAGATAGTAAACTAAAAAAGAGAAAAAGTGTAAAATCAACAGTTGTAATTTCAGGCACTGAAAAAAGAGTATTATTACAGAAGAAAACATCAGAACAATCCCACGAGTTATTTTTAAATAAGAAAAGAGAACAAAATAAAATAAAATAATAAAATAATTATTTAATTTATGATAAAAAAAAATAAAAAACTATACATTTTATTTATTTAATAGTAAAACATTTTCTATATTTTTAATTCGATCGCCTATAAAATAATCTGGAGCACATATTTTTGATATTTTAAGTAATATTGATAAATTATTACTATATTTTGGATCTGCAAATGGTGTCACCAATTTTGAAAAACAAGTTTCTTCTTTTTCGATTAAAAAGCATTTTTTGTTGTGTTTGCTTTTGAGTTCTTCAAAACGTAAAAGATTCGAATGTACCTTGAGGAATAACAAAAGCTCTCTTGTTTTAATTTCGCTATTGACACCAAGATCGCACCATTGATAGCTTCTTTTCCAATTACATTTAAAAAAATTGTTTAATTCGGGACAAGAGTTGCACAGTCTGTGTGTGCATGTGAATTTAATATTAATTGAATAAGATTTTATCTTCATCCTTATATATAGATTCATTACCACTTCTAAAAACCCAATAAATGCTCTAAAGTTGAAAAATTTTATGTTTTTAATAAACTCTGGTATTTTATTAGAGTTGAAGGAACTTTGAATAAAAGCGACTAACTTTTCAAATACTTCAGAAGAATCGATTGAATCCTCAATTCTAAAAACTTGAATTAATTTATTAAAAAATTTAAGTTGAATGCCTTGACAGTAGCTTTCTACCAGATATTGATTACCATTAGAGTATATAAAATCCCAAATTTCTTTCAAAGGGGATGAAGTGGTGATGTGCACTACCATTTCTTCCATTGGATCACAAAGCAATTTTGAGAATGACAATTGTAGTTTGATTTTTAATTCTTTTAATTGATTGTTATACCTCCCAAGAATACTGCAGTATGCTAATAACAATTTATAATATGATGCGTTTAATGGTTTTGGGTTTATTATATCTATGCTTAATGTGTGTTTATCAATTAAATTATCTATTGTTTCTTTGTAGCTATTAATAAAATCTGGAAAAATATCTAATATTGGCTCTATATAATTCTTAATATCCTTTGTATTATTCTTCAAAGTGGGGAGGAAAAAACTTTGATTTAGTTTGATATAATGTATAATAAATTCGTCATTAAATATTGGACTTTGGGCTCGATTTTGGTTTATTATATTAAACATTTCGCCAGGATTATAGTTGGACGTTTCACTATTAAAAATTGTCATGATTTGGTTTTTATTGAACCTAGTTTTTTTGAGTATCGGGCCAATATTCTGAATAAATTCTTTTGGTCTACTCTTAAATATTTCGAATAATTCGTCTTTGTCTAAACTACTCAAAATTTCTTCTAAATAATTTACTAATTGAACTGGGTTATTTTTAAAAATATATACAATTTCTTTTTGGTCGATTGTGTTGAGGATTATTTCAATTTTTTGTAAAAAATCTTCAGGTAACTTTGAAAATATATCATTGAGGGTGTTTAAAAATTGATTTGCTGTGTAATATGGTTTAAGCTTTTTTAAATTATTAAGAAAAAGTTTTGAATCTTCTCCAACCCTTTGAAATAATAATCTTTTTATTCTACTATCTTTTGATGGAAGGTATTTGTGTACTAAATTTGTAATTATTGGGTTTTGTATTAATGTCGGGATATAATTTGGGCTTTGGTAATGATAATGATCCAATAGTTCTAAATTTTCATCGGTATCAGTTTCGATATTATTTTTACGATCCAGACGAAGTAATTTGTCAAAGGCACTTGGGAACACTTCAAAACTATATGAGCCTAGTATAATTGGCTTATTCTTTCCACTTGTGTTTTTTTTGATAATAACCAATACTGATGCTACATAACCTTTATTTGAAATACTAAAAACCTCTTTAATTGAATTTTGAGGTAAAACTTCTTTTTTTAATTTTATATTTACTGGTTCTATATCTAATTCGTTATTTTTTTGATCTAAAAACTTGTGTAATGATGATATTCTGATCTCATTGGTTTCGATAACACAAAGTTTGGCAAGGAGAACTAACAAATTACAACTCTTTTCAATTGACAGTATCCTATCTAAAACCTTTTTATCCTCATCATTAAAATTTTTGAAACTATTATATTTACGAGATAACACATAAGCTAATTTTCCATTTTCCTCTAATTGAGCATTCATTTCCTTTTCAAGCTCCCTATTTCTATTTTCTTTTAGTGGTGTCGAATTGTTTTTTAATTGACCATCTCTTGATAAATATCTTTTACCAGTTTTAACTAAATTATAAACCAAACAAAATCTATGGGACATTGGTGTTGGTTTAACTTCAAAACTATAGTCATTTCCGAATACTGCATACTGAATACTTGATATTTTTGGGCTACCTAAATCTATTGATTCAAATTGATCACCATGTTTAATTATTAATTGACCTCCCTGATTATAACTTTGTAAAATAACTAATAACGTTCCCACAATATTAGAACTATCTTTCTCTTCCTCTATCTCCCGTCGAGACTGTATTTCAGAACCACCATTATAAAAAATTAACATTTTATTTAATTGTAAAACAATTTTATCTTCTGACATATCTAGTTTTTTTTTACTATCATTCAGTATCATCTCTAATGTTGATGACCATGATTTACTTTCTATACTGACTAAATCTGGATAAATTTTCCATACATTGCTTTCATTATTACTATTATTTATTATATTATTACAGTTATTATCATTATTATCATTATCATTATCATTATTCAAAATGTTTGAAATCTTCATAGGGCAAAGTGAACTATTATTACTGTGGCTACTATTCGATATGTTATTGGAAATATCTTTATTATTAATTACATGTTTATCGATTAACTCTCTAGTTTGTGAAATACTGCATGGGAAAGATAAATACCCAAAATCCTTTATCGAAACCATTATATTTTGATTTTCTATTTTTTGAAAATTATAATTTAATTTTTTATTAACTTCTTTTTCTAATGCAGCATCTTTTAATAACTCTTCTAATTTTATTAATTTTTTGTTGTAGTTTGCGAACATCTTTATTTAAATATCTATTTTCAATTAATAAAATTTAATATTAGAAAAAATTAAAATAAAAATAAATAAAACAAATACCTACAGTCATTTATGAAATGTGAAATCTTCTTTAAATGTTTAAATTTATAAAATAAATCTTTATATGAAAAAAATAAAAAATAAATTATAAAAAAAAATAAAAAAATAAAAATAAAAAAAATAAAAAAAAATTGAAAAAAAGCCAAAATACTACCGATTTTCATATCTAAAAAATAATATATGCAGATTAGTGGGATTTTTTAATGGATCATAGCGATCTCAAAATTGTTTATTACTCTATAGTTTTTTAAATTAAGTCTTTTTTATATAGCCATACTTTAATCGAAACAATCTTCGAACTTTATTCTATTTCTTATTCTTTATTTGGATTATACCTTACACCATATTCTTCTATTTATTTAAATAATTAAATATAAAAAAAAAAAAAATTATTAAAAATGAAAACAAATAAAATTACTTGAATTTTATTTTATTTTATTTAGCTGATTATCTATAATTTTGGATGATAAATTATTTGGGTAACCATTAATTATTTTTAAAATGCTTATGATTTTATCTTTGATTTTTTCTAATCTTTCATCCTCTGGGTTGTTTTTTCTAATTGATCTAAATAACTTTAAATTTAAATCACAAATTGATGTTGGAGAAAACTATATTAAAAAAAAAATAAAAATTGATTAATAAAAATAAATAAAAAAATATATAAAATAAAAATATATAGTTACCTCTTCAAGAGTTAAATTTAATGGATTATCTTTAATTGCTGTTTGTAATTTTTCTAAAACCTCGTGGTAAATTTGATGAGGTGGTATATTTTCTTTCAAATATTTAACCAATATACCACCAATGTTGAAAGAATTGGCTATACGTTGGTTGAGTGTTTGCCCTATGATCTCTGGTGTTATAAAACTAATTGGAATTGAGGAACTACCCAAAGCATCTCTACATTCATCCAAGAATGAATTTGTGCGCAAAAGTAAATTTACAAACTCGTATGTTCTTAAATCACCATTAATGATTGCATCTTGGCCTTCTTGACCCTTTTCTGGTGGGTAAAAAGTTTTATGACCTTCTGAGCATGTAAATCTATAACCGTTGTCATCGTTACTGAGTGGAAGTTCAAAGTAGAGGTGTTTCTCTTCCAGAGGCTCTCTACACTGATTACAAGTAAGACCGCTAAGCTTTGATTGGAATTCGCATTGTGGACATTGACAAAAGAATCTATATTGATCTAAAAGATGTGGTCTACGATCATCCAAAGTTGAAAACATGTCATAATACGTTAAAAATAGCTCCTCACCTTGACTAATAGTTCTTGTTGCTCTGAATGCCAACATACCATTATCATCAACATACCATGTTACATTAGGAACGCAAGAATGATTAAAATAGCAGCCCAATGGATAAAATCCATGGCCATATCCTTTACCAAATATATTTGAGACTGTATGACCATTACTGAGAAAGATTGTATATATTTCATATATTTCTTCGCGAGTGAATGAGTCACCTAAAAAATCTATACCATAGATATCTTCAAACAGGTTCATTAATGTTGTAACACCTCTATTGAACTTCTCTCTTAATTCTTTATCAATCTTTCCATCATTTGAACACGATAAATTTATAATATCATTATAGGTGCCAAATAAAAAAGGTTCTTTTCTCCACTTGATTGGTATATTATTTTTTGAATATTCTGACAAAGTAACCTTTGCTATATTTAATTTTGAAGATTTAAATTTTTTATTATTTCTATTATTATCACCGTCACTATCACTATCATTATCACTATCACCATCACTATCACTATCACTATTATCATTATTATCACTATTATCATTATTATCATTATTATCATTATTATCATTATTATCATTATTATTATCTTTTTTATTTGTATTATTGTTATTTTTATTATTGATTTTTTTTTCTTTTAAAGCATTTAATAAAACCCTTGACATCAACCTTATATCCCTAGTTTCATTACTATCTGGGTGATATCTATTAAAATATTGATAAATTGGACATTCTTCATGGTGATATTGAATAGCTACGGGATCAGTTGAGCATTCCTCACAAAACAAAAACTTTTTACATTCTTTACATTTATATTTCTGCCTATCCTCTTTGTTTATAATTTTGTTGAAACAAGAACCACAATATTTATGTAAATGAATATCCTCAATTGAGGCTGTATACGGTGAAACCCTAAGAACCAAACTACCCTTTTCAATATTATTATTTGCAATTACACATCTACCTTTACCTTCTTGCCATTCAATCGATACCATCGGAAATAATCCAAGCTCCTCCTTGTCTCTTATAATTTTCTCTTTAAAACTTTTCTCTTCTACCTTTAATCTTTCTAATTTACTAACCACTTCATCTTTTTCGTTGTCTATTAATTTCTTTAATCCTTCATCTTTCCTGCACGTTGATGTTTTTAATGAATTATCTAATGCTTCTAACGATTCTTTAAAACGACACATATATCTGAGACACAATGCTTTTCTGTAATGTGCCTTTGCATTTTCTTTATCATATTCTATACTCTTCTCTATTGAATCCAATGCCTTATCTACAAAACACCCGTTTATATAAACTAGGGATAAATTTGAATAAATTATTGATATAAGTTTTTTAATTTGCTTTATGATTTCACTATTATCATGATTATTATTTTCTTTTATTAATTTAAAATAATTATTATTAAAACATTGAATTGCTAATGAATAATATGTTACCGATCTTCTATTTAATGTGCTATTATTATTACTATAAATACTATCACAATCATTAATATTGATATTATTATTATTATTATTATTATTATTATTATTATTATTATTACTTTTATTGTTATTATTATTGTTATTATTATTACTATTGTTATTATTATTGTTATTACTATTGCTATTATTATTGTTATTATTATTGTTATTACTATTGTTATTACTATTATTATTACTATTTAGATTAAAATCATCATTTCCTTTTTTCTTTAAAACCTCTAACTCTTTATATAATGACTTAAATCATTAACAATCATCTTTTTTAATTAAAAAAAAATTTTGAATAATGATATTGTAAATGTTAAAAAATAAAAAAATTAAAATTAAAAAAAAAAAAAAAAAAAAAAATTATTTGAAAAAAAAATTTTAACACATTATAAGTATATATGTTTTAAAAACTAAATATATATATATAATTAATTGATGGTAAATTACAACAGGGTTTCCTTTTTATTTTTTAAACATTTTAATTTAATTTTTAAATTCAGTTAATTTTTTTTAATTAATTTTTTTTAATTAATTTTTTTTAAATTTATTTGGTTATGTCAAATTAGGATTTAAAATGAAAAGAATTTTTAATTTTATTAAAAATGGAAATAAAAAAAATAAAAAATAAAAATAATTTTGTTTTTATTTTATTTTTTATGTAATATTGTTATTATTTGTATAATAATTAAAAACTTTTAAAATTATTATAATAATTTATAATTTTTGTTTCCTATTATATATATTATATTTTTTTTTACAAATTTATATTATTTTAAAAAAAAATACCACACATTCAACAAAATCACACACATCAATGAAATTTAATTTGTTATATCTGTTTCCTTAAAAATATTTAAATTCTTTTTTATTATATTTATTTATTTTATTATTATTTTAAAATAAAACTTTATTTTTTTATTTTCTTTTTTATATATATAATTAATTACAAACAATAATATCTATTTTAATATCTCGCATACTTTTTTTTTTTTTTTTTTTTTTTTTTTTTTCCTAACAAAAAAAAAGAAATTTAATTTTTTAATTTTTTTTATTGTGGTTTCTCCCCCCATTAAAATAATAATAAAGGTAAATAATAAAAATTTCCCCCCTAATATTTATTTTTAAATTGGGCATTGGAAAAAAAAGGAAAATTTGTTTTTTTTTACCCTCATAATTTTTAATAACCTTTTTTTAAAAAAAATTCGAAAAAAGGGGCCTCTTTTTTAAAAAATAAATTAACCAAAAAAATATTAATTTAAAAAAGAATAATTAAAAAATTTAATAATTTTAAAAAATAAAAATTAAAATTTTTAA